GCCCCGCGCTGCCCGCAGAGGGGAGGGCGGCCCCCGCGCCAGGCCCAGGGCCTTCCGCCTGCCCCCCGGGGTTTGAGGGGACAGTTGGGCCGGGGGGAAGCGGTAGGGTTCGGGAGGTGGGTGCTGCCAACAGCACGCCTGCAGCCTGCCCTACTCGCTACAGCACACCAGCCCCTCCTCCGGGGATTTGTCCAGATTTAATATTTTAATCACGTTAATGTGCTTAATAAAAAACCAGACCGTGACAGCAAAAAAGGGCGATAACCCCTAACCAAAACTGAGTGCTTGAAGCGTTAGGTTTTGGGGTTAGTCCACCTAATCTTGGTTTATAATTACTGCAGTGGCCCAGTTTCCACAGGACGAGCAAAGATTCAGAGTGGGGATTTGCACATCCCACAGAGATGATGCATTTTGATTGTCCCCAGACAGAGGAAAGAATTGAATCCTGGTCTCCTCAGACAAGTTAGTAGTTGAGACAGTCCAAATGGGGGCTTGGAGCACTTAAAGTGTGGTTCCCTCACTAGCATCACCTGGCTCCACAGCCGTGGCGATATGTGATCACCCAAAGCCCCAGGGAAGGGGAAGCAGCAAGCCCAAGCGAGTCCCTCAGACCAGGCCCACCTGCATGCAGGCCAAGCCAAGCACCAGCTCTGCCTAACTGCAGAAGCCCTGGTAGGGCTGTGGAGGCCGTACCCCTCAGCTACAAGGCAGGAGATCAGCAGCTGCAGCACTCCTATTAAAAAAAAAAATTCCTTTTTCTCATCCTTAGACAAAAATGGTATCATCAACTCATGAGAGAAAATACAAAATGAGGATTCCCAAGAGGAAAAAAATCCCCACAAAACACTTCCCTGGAGATGCTCCACTCCTGTGGAGAACTGTATTTATGAAACACCTTTGTACTTAGCATTTTCTACCATACAGCTCCTTGAGCAGTGCCATAGGTTGCTCTGGATCTCACCCTGAAGGCATTAGCTCCTCGGGTGCTGTAAGGCTTGTATGACTTACACATTCTTCCCTGAATCAAGTACCCAGATTTATCTTGGGGGATCGAGGAGCTGAAACCAAAATTCCACCTGGCATCACATCCTCACATTTAGCCCTTAGTCTCTTTCCTCCGTGTTTCCTATCAGCCAAACACAGTGACTTCCTGCCCAGGACTCAGTGGTTCTGTCAAACCTGGCATGACAGGAAGCTCAGTGACCTCACTGACTAGAAGTGTGGTGTTGCAACTCTGGTGTGTATTTATTCACGCCACCAAGAAAGACGGCAACGTTCTCAGCCGTTATCCTGGGATGTGTGGGTGGGTGTCTCTGTGTGTGTGTGTATCTAGGGTAACAGAGAGGTCAGTTTTGAAACACTTGTAATTACAAGTCAGCTTTGTAGTCTTAAAGTGTTCACTGAACAAGTAGATTCTTGTCTTGCTACTGTCTATACCTGATAGTGTTGTTGTATCAGAAAGTACCGTAAAGGAAATGCAAATGGACAGATCACCCAGTTAACAGTGTGACATACGAAGGATCTCCTGCTGGGGTTCCCAAGGTTACCTCACCCCACAGTCGGCATTCAAAGTCAACGTACAAGCTCCTTGTCCATGTACCAGCTGGATGTGAACAGCTGCGGATGCTGGAATGCCCTAGCATTTGTAACTATTATCTAATTGCAGTCTCTCAAGAACTCCGTAATTCTTCTCTCACTTCACAGATTGGGAAAGCAAAACAAAAATTAAAAGAGCTAATGCAAGTTTCTAAAAGATGGGAAGATGAGTAGGCATAGCCTACTCCATCGGCTTCTGCATTTCTCCAGCTGTGCAGAATGAAAAAAACCTGAGTACGGTATTCCCATGAATTTGTCAGCTTACTGTCACATCAGCCAGTCACAGAAGGTGAAATTCATCTCAACTAACTTTAATATGAGGGTGACTGTTGCATCTGATATGGTCAGTCTCAGCTCTCTTTTTAGTCTGTGGAGAGAAAAAGGCGTGATTGATCTAGGCCAGATGTGCTAATCAGGACATGAATCACAACCTGTAAACATCCATGTCTCTTCAGTGACTATAAAACAACAAGCTCAGACCCAGGCACCTGCATTCGGTTGCACAAATGCCATCCTCCATTCTCAACTGGAATACGGACGCAGCTACTAGCCCCTGGCCCCTTCTCTTTTACACTTTAGTGGAGGGTGACATCAGCAAGGATTGGGTGCTTGTTGAAAGCTCAGGAAAGCATCACAGCTGCAGTCATCTTGTCTAACGCCACAGCTAAAAAAACGAACAAGTAACATAGGGCCACTGAAAACAAACTACTGCTGAAGATAAAGACCTTATGTATACAGTTCTGGGTTTTTTTTTTCAGTCTTACACTAAAGCTGATCCCAAAAGCTTTTGCAGCAATAGCTCTATGCTTCAAGGCAGCGAAACCCTTCATTGCAGGCAAGGCAGGAGAGCTGACAACAAAGCCTTTCTGCACCTTGCCCAAGAACTGAGACGCTAAGGCAACAAACTTCCTCCAGCTATACGTATGTGTGTTTTAACGCGACACTGGAAGCTAGAGGTCATCTCTGACCTGCGCAAGGGAGATGTTTATACTCACTGTCCTTTTGGTGCCACCGCACTGCATGCAGAAACACACCGCAGTAGTGAAACAAGAACTCGTGCCCGGAGCGCTGAACCGTCCGCCGCAGCAAAGGCAGCAAGGTGCGCCCATCGATTACCCTGGGGGACAGGATGGGAGTCACCAGGCGGCTTAAGAACGTCAGTCTGCAGCCGGAGCGTGAGCAGCACTCACTCTCCATGTATGCAGCACTGGGATTTCAAGTGTCATCTCTAAACCAAGCTACTGTTTAGCTAATGAGCCCTGAGATTTTTAATTGTGGGCATGGGTGGAGACCAGTGATTAGCAGTTTCTAGCAGTTTTTGCAATTACAGCTAGTTCACACATCCTGCCTGGGGAGATAAGTTACCATTACTGTAATTTTCCTGGGAGTAAGTGATAACCATACTGAAGGCATGGCTCACAGCTTTTAATTTTGCTCCCTGAAATGGAAGTCACTGAAATCACTGATAGCTCTGTGAGCTTGAGGCTTAGTGTAAAGAAAGAATAAAAAGCCACTTACTGAATTGACTAACAATTTGTTTAGTTACATGCCACCAGTACTTTTATGCTTTTTGCTCAAATGGCTTAGCCACCCATGCTTTCTCATGTTCTTTAGAGGAGCCTAACACAGATGCTGCAAACTGTTTACTGCTGAGGAAGCTAATTCTATGGTACTGGCAGCCAAAGGCAGCCCATGTGTCATTTGCTCCACCTTCTTTACTCGTGAAGAACCACGCTTCTTAGTTTTGGAAGGGGCCTGTCCTAGTACTCTAACAGAACCAACCTACTTTGTGAGGGTCTGTGGATTTTTTGTAAAAAGCAAGATTAAAAGAGGGCATGTGTGTGTGGTTTGGGTGGGTGTTTTTTTTATGGTTTTGCTTTTTATGGTCATCCCAGTGTCCCAAATCAACCAGGTTGCCCCTTGTGATGATTAGAAAACTGAACTGGCCAAATGACCCTTGATAAAACATACTCTTTACTTTTTCCATGTAAGCAGACAAGATGAGGAAAGCTACACAGAAAGAAGGCTAGAGACTTGCCTGGTTAAAAAACAAACAGGATTTAACCTGTAGCTGTTAAGGTGCATGACATATACAATCAGCTTCTACCTGAATCAAGAAAAGAGAGGAAGCACAGTTTATAAAGTCATCTTTGTACCTGTCCTGAGGCAGTGTCCCTCCAGCCAGCTGAACCACTGTTGGGAAAATGTCCATGAGGCTTGTTGGTTCGTTGATAACTGTCCCTGCAGGCAGCACTCCTGGCCAGCTAACTATTCCTGGAACACGGATCCCTCCTTCCCAGCCTCCCATTCCTTTTCCACCTGTGGCAGGGGGAAGTGTCAAAAAAGTTAAAAGAAAAATATTGGATGTTTATTATGCATGTATAATAAAAAGGTTTACAACTTCTATAATATTCAAATAAGTGTAATGAAAACAGTAAACCCTGGAGAACAGTAGAATAACTACTGTGCAAATTCCATTCTTCAAAAATAAGTATTAACTTCTTTTTACACTGCTTTCGCAGGTGGCACATATAGAAGGGGAACGATTCCACCCTCTGACACCTGAGAAGGCATTCTGATCCATAATTTTAATTGAATGTCATGTCTGAGAAAAATTCTCACGCTCCCTAATAATATGCCCAAGAAAAAGAGTCTGTTATTAATAAAAAGTGAAATCTGACTTGGTGTCAATGGAATAGAGGCTGCAGCCTGACGTGGTGCCTGAGGAAGGGGGATTAACACAGGGCAAGCTTGGTTATCAGACAGTTCACAATCAGAGGCAGCAGGAACATTACAAAATCATTTGCAGTCCTGGAGAGCAGTGAGGGGAATTAGGATAATGTTGGATTGCCCTCCAGGAGTTTACAGTCCCAGGGATGCTCTCAGGTGGTCCCAAATGGACGAGTGCAGAACCCATGCACTAAATAAGTGAGCGCACTGAATATGCTGCAGTGATGAAGACTTTCCACCTACGTTTTTGTTGAAATTGTCTTGAGGTAAGCAAAAGAGTCTTTCTTAACTTGGTTTCTCCTGCATTCCTCTAGTCTTCCAAATTCTCTCCTCCATGCACTGGCTCTCTTACAAGTCAAAATATTGTTTTGAATAGCACTTCAAAGTGAGAACCATTAATTAAGTACGGATATGAATTACAGGTGCAAAGGATGGGGATATTAATGAAACAATGTGGTTTAAAGCCAGAACTCCACGCTGAGGGTCCCGTTAGAAAACAACAATTGCAAAATGTTGATGGTCAGGTACCTGTATGACCTTTGCTCTCTTACTCCTCCTATCATGGTCAGAAAGGACAAGTCATTGCTGGAAGGTGCTGTAGGAAAGTTGGCAAACAAAACCTGAAGCTAGCTTATTAGCCCAGCTAATAAATCAGCAGCTGAATGGTAGTTTATATTAGTCTCTGGCTTTGCTAAGGAATGCCAGACTTGGCTCTGGAGGAGGTGTGCTCATACAGCTCAGAGGCAAGGTTCCCAGAGCTTGGTTTTAAAGGCTGACGAGGTGGCATGGTGGATTGCAAACAGGGCAAGTCCAGCTCCTTGTGCAATAATCCTTATGCTATGTAAGACAACAGTATCTTAAGGTCTGTTATTCACTAGTGACTCTTCCCATTAACCATATGTGTGGCTTATTTATTTTCTTGTTCATACTATCCTGTTAGCAACAGCAGCAGTGAGTTCTACAGATATTTATGAATTAAACTAAATTTTTTATCTTGCTCGTTAGTTTCACTGGGATGTCCTCTGTTCTGCTGTATGGGGACATACATGGGAACACCTTTCAGTTATTAATATCTAAACAGATACTATATATCCTCTTGTCTTCTCTCTAAGCAGGCACAATTTCATCACAGTCTTCTCATGCTGGAATGTCTGTCTAATCACATTCACCTTTCCTGTCCGGACTCTCTTGTTACTAATACCCTTGTGTTAGGCTAGTGGAAGTGAATTCCCTAGGTTATATTCTGAGCTATTCAAGTGAGCCCATTGGCCTTTTTGTATGTTACTGGTATGGAAAGTTCATATCCAGAACTGAAGACTAATTTAGCATTTGGGACTGTTCCAGGATTAGCTGCCAGCTGTATGTACTGCTTGTGTGGCTGTGCTGGGTTCAGTCAGGAAAGAGTTAAATGTCTTTACCATGGCTGCCGGGAAGCTGTGTTCCTGAATGCAGAGAGCAGCACTGATAAATTCTTAGCTGGCACTGGGGAATGCCTGCACTGAGTTCAAGTTCTTTCTCCACTTCTGATCCTGCAGCTGCGTTCCCAGCCCTCACGGTCTCGCTACAGGCAGTGCTGGGACACACAGTTCAGACACCTGACCCAAACTGACCAAGGAAGTATTTCATTCCATAGTATGTCATGCTCAGGGCAGAGGCGAGGAGGGGGTCCAGGAGCTGTTACTCTCTCTCCTACGCTCTCTCTTGCTCGTTTACTCCTGTACACTTGCTAACCCTCTCCCTGACTCCTGCGTTAGCTGCTTCGCTAACTCCTGTGCTGGCTCGTTTGTGAGGGAGTTGGTGGGTTTGTTTAGCTTTCCCGGGCTGCTATCGCTGATAGGGTTCGCTTGGAATCTGCTGCGGCAGCGCTCGGGCTCCGGCCCTCGGCCTGCGGCCCGCGGCCTGCATCTCTTGGGCTCTCTGGGTCTGACTCCCATTACTCAGCACCTGTTGTGCATTGGGCAGTGGGTGGTGAGGAATTGTATCATATTGTATCATATGTTTTATTTCCTATTGTTTTAATTATTATTAGTAGTACTTGTATATATTAATTTAGATTTAATTAGTAAATAGTTCTTATCTCAGTTTTACGAGCTTCCTTATTTCTTTTTCCGCCGATTCCTCCCTTCCACTGGAGGAGGGGAGGGGGATTTGTGAGTGCAGCTTCATGGTATATTGCTAGTCAGAGTTAAACCACAACAGTGGCTCATCAAGTAACTTACTACTAGACAATGCACATTTTGGTCCTG